AAAAAAAACTAATGATATCCAGGTGGTGGTGGCACATGCCTTTAATCCCAGCACTCGGGAGGCAGAGCCAGGCGGATCTCTGTGAGTTCGAGGCCAGCCCGGTCTACAGAGTGAGTTCCAGGACAGGGCACCAAAACTGCACAGAGAAACCCCGTCTTGAAAAACCAAAACCAAACAAACAAAACTAATGATAGGACCAGGAAATTTTTAGAGCAATTTGAAGTAATTCTTTGAAACCAAAGTGGGTTCAATAAAACATCCTCAGAAAACACATGTTACAGGGCTGGAGAGATGTCTCAGAGGTTAAGAGCACTCTAGCTGCTCTTTCAGAGGACTTGAGTTCAATTCCCAACAACCACATGGTGGCTCACAACCATCTATAATGAGGTCTGATGACCTCTTCTGGCATTCAGGCAAACATGTAGGGAAAACACTGTATGCATAATAAATAAAACGGAAGGGGGGGGAGAAAGAGAAAATAAAAGAAACCACAAATCAGAAAGTATACCATTCATTTCTGGTCTGTGTAACAAGGCTAAACATAATGCAACCAACTCTGTGCATGGACTTTACTTCCCAAATGGTCAACTACCAACAGAGGTCTACAATTACCTTCTAAGATTCCAAATGATGATCCTTGTCCCCTTCTTACCCATAATAGCATCAAGTTCTGCCACTAATTTCTGTTCCGTAGAAAACAGAGAATGTTCCAGAATTGCTGCTAGGCTTGCTTTTGATTCTGCTAAATTAATCATCTGACGTATGTCCTTAGTTAAAGATTGAACTCAACAACAAAATTTATACAATTACAATACAGAAGCAAACTTTAACAAACTCAAAGTAACCAATCCCTAAATTATTTACAACTCTTAAAAAAGTAATGTGATTTCAAATGAACACAAGGAAAGATGAAAAGTGAGCATGTCCCAGGGCTCAGTGGAATCTACCCATAACCCAGCTGGGTGAGGTAAGGAAGGAGGGTGAGTTCCAGGCAACTCACTTCAACTGTAAAAGGGGGAGGAAAAGAGAGCAAACTCATTATTTCTAAATAACTTAGTGATTTATGTCAATAAGTTCCTCAAATCATCCCGCTTTTTTTTTTCACTATTAGGAAAACTTTCAAGCCAGGCCAACAGTCTTTCTCATTAACCCAAAATAAGCTTGAAATAAGGAACTATATATAAGGAAGGCAAAGTGGCTCAGGCCTGTAATCCCGCTGCCTATGAGGTGGAGTCCAGTCATTTCCACCACACACTGAAGCCCTGTTGAAGAACAAGGAGAGCTATGGAGGAAGCTTGCCCTCCTGTGGTCTACAGACCAAACCCAGGTCCTCTGCTACTAAGCTTCACCTGCAGCCCTGGAAAACAATCAACAGACTAGACATGGCGGCACCTGCACCTCCAATCCCAGCACGCAGGAAGCAGAGGGAGGGCAGGCAATTGCTGTGGCTTTTCAGGACCAGCCAGGGCTACCTAGTGAGACCTTGTTTCAAACCAACCAACCAACAACCAAACAACTACAACCATAACCTCATTATGCTGACGATTTCCACAACAAATTTCCAGTAAAGAAAAAAACAAACACTGGGCTTCAGGCACAGGGTAAAAGAAGTATATACAGACAAGAAATGAAACACACATGATTTAAAAAAACAAGAATTAGGGGGCTGGAGAGTTAGTTCAGTGGTTAAGGGCACTTGTTGCTCTTGTAGAGAGGGTTCGATTCTCAGTACCCACATGGCAGCTCACAGCCATTTCTAACTGCAATACCAGGAGAACCAACACCCTCTTCTGACCTCTACAGACACCACAAATGCACATGGTGCATATCCACTATGCAGACAAACAATACACACATAAAATAATTTTAAAAAGAACAAAATTTTGCATGAGTGTACTGGCTGGTTTTATGTGTGAACTTGACACAAGCTAGAGTCATCAGAGAGGAAGGAGCCTCAGTTGAGGAAAGACCTCCATGAGACCCAGCTGTAAGGCATCTTCTCAGTTAGTGATCAATGGGGGAGGGCCCAGCCCATGGTGGATAGTGCCATCTCTGGGCTGGTAGTCCTGGATTCTTTAAGAAAGCAGGCTGAGGAAGCATGGGAAGCAAGCCAGTAAGCAGCACCCTCCACGTCCTCTGCATCAGCTCCTGCCTCCAGGTTCCAGCCCTGCTTGAGTTCCTGTCCTGACATACTCCAGTGAAGGACTATGATCTGGAAGTGGAATCCAAATAAACCCTTTCCTCCCCAACTTGCTTTCCGGTCATGGTGTTTTGTCACAGCAACAGAAACCCCAACTAGGACAATGGTATGGTGCTATGTGCTCTTAACTCCAGCTTTTGGTTGGATGGGATGGAAAAATCAGCAGTTTGGAGGCAAGCCTGGCTAACATGGAGGGATCCTTTCTAGAACAAAAGACAGGGCAAGACAAGAATTGAGGGAGATAAAAAGGAGTGTTCAGATTTCTTTAAGTTTCTCTGCAGATGAATTCCAAACTCAAAAGGATATGGTGTTTGTTGAATGTCACGATAGGGACAACAACATGTTCTGCCTTGATGACTTCCAAATAGGTCTGAGACAAGAATCCCACACTCATGGTCTCTCCATTTTTGGTAAAAACTATTGCATCTTTGCCCAGTCTCATAGAACCCGACTTGAATCCATTCCCGTACAATCCAACCGGGACGTGACCATTCACGGTGACTTTGTCACTGAAGCCGAAGCTATAAAGAAAAGGAAGATTCAAACAATAAACACTCATTTTTAAAAATTCAGTGAGTATAAGTACCTTTTGAAAATTTAATACCAAATAAAAAGCCTGGATTCAAATGCTGATTCCACCCACCCCGGGTGTATAAATAATCTTGAGCAAATGACTTTGACCTACCTTGATGTGTTTCCACATCTCTGAGAATGGGTTTCAGGGACTTACACCAGCTCATCACCTGGAATGTATGGCCTAATGTCTGGGCTGTAACAGGAGGTCTACAAACCTTCAGATTTCAGGCCACAGATCATTTCCTCTAGATATGAACAATTCTCTTGTTCTAAACAAGGCTATGTGGCATGATTAATGATGGGGTCAATTTGGCTTTTTGGCAGCATAAGGAACATTTAAGAAGACAACTGTAGCCATAAGTTTCTCTAGTCCACCTGGCCCCAGCAGTCTCGAAGACACTTATAAAATAATCACTCAGAGGCTTAATATTAACTGCAAACTATATGGATTATGGCTCAGGCTTCTTGTTAGCTAGCTCTTAACTTAATTCAACCCGTAACTATTAATCTATGTATCACCATGTGTGCCGTGGCTTTACCTGCGTCCCATGGTTGGCGGTTTGGCGTCTCCCCCCACTGTCCTTTCTCCTCTCACTCTCTCTTGGATTTTCCTGCCTGTCTCCATCCTGCCCTGCCATAGGCCAATGCAGCTTTATTTATTAGCCAATCGGAGTAACCCATATTCACGGCATCCAGAAAGACATCCCACAGCAGACAACAGAAGGCTTCTGCTTCTGAATTCTCCCTCTGCTCTATACTGTTAGTTCTGTACCCAGTGCAGACACTTCACCGAGGCCGCATGAATATTTTCTGTCCCTTCATTCCCCCAAGCTCTTTAAAGACATCCCCGATTCCCACAGTAAACTCTATAGAAACTCTATTAGGTAAGCCTAATTCACACCAAAGTAGAAACAGTGTGCTCTACTACCCGTGTGTTCCACCCCTAAAGGAATGCGGGAGTTGCAGGTAAGGCAGACACAGGGGAAGGGTGACGAGCACGGAGACAGCGCCTACTAATCCAGGTGTAGGAAATAAGGAAAGACCTGATCACACTGTGGAGACGGCATTTTGGGTTTAAAAACAAACTTCAGGACATGAAATGGCGTTTTGTATGACACAAGTAAATTTTCAAATAGGCAGAAGCCATCACTTTCCAGAGTATAACGTGCTGTACACACCTCAGCATTTTATGTAACTTATCTGCAGTCATCCCGTTGCCATTATCAGTGAAAGTCAAGCATATACGGTCATTAATCACTGTTTTATCAATCCAGATCTGTTTAGCATTCACATCAGGATCATAAGCATTATCTGGAAGACAAAGGTTTTGAGAAGTTCTGATTCTGTATTTTAAAGAAGCCATTCATTAGAACAATGTTGTAACAAGCACTAGAATATCATTATTACTTTAAAAGCTAATTGTTAGACTTCCTACGGTTTGAAACACACAACTAAACTGCCTCCACTGACCGCATCAGAATTAGTGCTCCCCCAGCCCTTCACAGCACGCAGGGAATGAAGACTGGAGACCACCACACTCAAGTGTGAGACACCATGCTCCCAAAGACCTAAAACCAGCCTGTCTATCTATCCCGAGGGAAACAGAACTAAGGGCAGAGTACTAGGAGTCGACACAGAAGCTAACTAACGGTTCAGAATGAGAAGGCAGTATCCCTTTCTTCTAAGCTACATCCAGACGGACAGGAGATTCACCTCCTCCAAGTATCTACCATTGGGATTCGTGTGAAGTTTCTTCCTACTGTACAACTCCATCACTGTACACTTCTCACTTTAACCCTAACATCTTGTTTATATACTCACTTCTCAGAACAGGCACGATAAAGGACTATGTTAAAAAAGAAAAATATTTAACTTATCAGTAATAAAATCAATTTGTGACTTATCCAAGAGCCATGTGAACAGCCCCTAATTGAAATATACTTAGAAGTATTTATTAGAAATAATGGGGCCCTTTTCCTCACACTGGGTCGCCTTATCCAGCCTTACTACAGGGGAAGTGCCCCGTCTCACTGCAGCTTGCTAGGCCACGTTTGGTTGCTGTCCATGGGAGGCCTGCCCTCTTCTGAATAGAAACTGAGGGGGGGAGGGGGATGGGGAAGGGCTGGGAGAGGAGGAAGGAAGGAAAACTTTGGTCGGGTGTAAAAAAAATAATAATAATAAAAATCAAACTGGGCGGTGGTGGTGTACCCCTTTAATCTGAGCATTTGGAAGGCAGAGGCAGGTGAACCTCAAAAGTTCAAGGCCAGCCTGGGTCTACAGAGTGAGTTCCAGGACAAGCTCAAGCTACACAGAGAAACCCAGTCTTGAAAAAAGCCAAATTAATAATAACAATAATAATAATAATAATAATAATCAAAAAATGGCTTTTAAACTAGTGTTCTATAAAGGATCTTACAATTAATCTCTTCCAACCACTTCAGGAAAGATAAAATAGCATCTCACTGAGAACTTAACTTGTTAATACCACAGGGGGCACAGCTGTCAGGCCAGGTTGTCTCTGCTAGGCTGCCATTTCAAAACACAGAACTCTCACAGTGTTGCAGCACATCCATTGTAGAGTTGGGGAGAGAAAATACAGTCAGCTGGGTGCTTGTTGGCTCTGAGGTTAGAAAAACCTCAGTAGTGTGCCAAAGGAAAGGGCTCCTGCAAGCTGGGCAGGGTGCTCATCCTGCAAGTCCAGCACTGGAGAAACTGAGGACCAAGACTTACTGTGAGTTCCAGGCCAGCCTAGAGACCCTTCCTTAACAAACAAACACCCAGAAGTCCCTCCTCCTCCCATATCTCAGGTAGGACCTTCCTTTGATCAAGATCCCATTGTAAAATATACAAAGAAACTCCTGAGAATAACATTTCCCCCTTTAAAACATAAGCCTACGTTGAAAAATAAAAACAAAAACAAAAACTATTCTTGCTCATGTAATTTCCTTAGAAGAAAATCATGACCTCATGATACAAATCTGAATATAATTTATATATTGCCTCATGCTCAGTAGATAAAGGCATATTCCTGGACCTCATCATTCCCTTAGAGGAAATAAGAAACTATCATAAATTTAACATATTAATTCTAACACATGAAAAATGAATCCACTCTATATGTTATACACACTGTGAAGCATAATTCTTATTTTTTTACTTTCACAATTAGTAAAAATATTTGCACTGTAAGTGCTTTGTAAACTTAGCACATTAAGAACTAAAAGAAAGCTATGGAAACACCTGGTAGTATGGGGAAGGTGAGGAGTGATTCACGTGCTATGAACTTAAACAACTGTTAAGTCAGCTTTTACACCAATGTTGTTCAGGATCTAGTTTAACAAGTATGGTTGCATATTACTTTTCAGAAGTTATTAAGTTATAATTACATTAGCAGATAGTATATGAAATACCAATTTACATACCTATTAATTCAGCAACTGCACTGAATGGCCAAGTATGACTAGTAGAATTTGTGTGTAAAAACTTCGGGCAAAGCTGAAACAAACAACAATTCATATAATTTAATGTATCCTTAATTATGAGCACAAGACCCAATATACATTGTCTCTGTGTTAAACAACGCTGAGACGGAATAAAAAATGACTTAATTGGCCGGGCGGTGGTGGCGCACGCCTTTAATCCCAGCACTCGGGAGGCAGAGCCAGGCGGATCTCTGTGAGTTCGAGGCCAGCCTGGGCTACCAAGTGAGTCCCAGGAAAGGCGCAAAGCTACGCAGAGAAACCCTGTCTCGAAAAACCAAAAAAACAAAAAAAAAAAAAAAATGACTTAATTGCTTGTTCCAAAGAGAGAAAACCTTGAAGCTTCCTGGAAGGCTGGGGAAACAACTCAATAGCTTACCCATCAAGAACTTGTCTCCTTATGTCCACAATGCCATAGCTTTCCCAATTCCCTTGTAAGACCTGTTTTTAAATGACCCAGCTGAGACCCTAAAGTCTGACAAACATCATTTCCTAAACCTCACTACTTTGAGACAAGACTTTGCCAAGAGGTGTTTGCTCATTAGTATCCTGACTGGTCTAATAACCTTACTAAGTAACCACTGCTGGCAGCCTCACAGAGACTTAGTATTGACACTGAGTTGGTTGGATTATCTATTCCAAGTTTACTGAGTTTGAGCACTGGCCTGGTGTGTATCCATGACTTCTTCAAATAACAAACCACTGCAGTTTCCAAGGTGTTAGAGCATGACTTTACTCTCAATAACAGATATGAAGTCATGAAGGAGGGAGAGGCCAATCAGCCCTATGCTATAGGAAGCTTAATGCACACTTAATTAATTAATTAAATAATCACTTAATTTAAACACTTTTTTTTTTAAGGGCAGGGATGGAAAGATGGCTCAGTAGTTGAGGGCACTCACTGCTCTTCCAAAGGTCATGAGTTCAATTCCCAGCTCACAACTGTGGGATGCTATCCTCTGGTGTACATATGTACATACAGACAAATTACTCATATACATAAAAAATAAAATCTTTAGCTGGGCTTGGTGGTACAGCCTTTAATCCCAGCACTTGGGAGGCAGAGGCTGGTGGATCTCTATGAGTGAGTTCAAGGCCAGCCTGGTCTACAGAGTGAGTTTCAGGACAGCCAGAGCTACAGTGAGCTACTCTTTTGGGGTGTGGGGAGAGTTGTGTATTCTAGGGTAGCCTAGAACTCACCTTAAACTTCTGCTCCCCTTGCCTCTACTTCCCCAACCCAAGAGGATGTAGCTCAATACGCGTAGACCACTTGCCTAACACACATAAAGTTCTGGGCTTAACCCCCAGCACCTCATAAAACTGTGCATGGTAACCAAGAGCCTGTAATTCCATCACCTGGGAATCACGATATCAGAAAGTTAAGGTCATCCTTATCGAGTTTAAGTTGGGAGCCAGCATGGGCTGTTGAAGATCTCAAATAAAACAAATAAAACCTAGACAACAGAAGACATCAGCTCCCCACAGGATAACCTGAGCAAGCTGCGGCCCCCAGGACAACCAGAAAAAGATCCACACTAGCAAGTCAGCAAGCAGCCTGCAATCAACCCCTATACACACTGTGAGTGCCGAGATCACTCACAGGAGAAAGGCCTTTTCAACAAATGGCACTGGGAAACCAGATTCCTAAATTACAACACATACAGGAATTAAGTCAAAATGGATCAAAAACCTAAAATAACATAAAAAAAAGAAAAGCTTCATGACTTTAGATTTGGAAATCATTTCTTGAATAGAACAAAAGCGTATATAAATCAAACTTATCAAAATTTAGAACTACACATCTAAGGGCAGCGGCAACATGAAAAAATACAGCTCTCACCTCAAAGGGGTAAGAGGCAGTTCACTGTAGAGCCAAATCTAAGTGACCATGGTGGAACACAGGTTTGTGTTACCTTGCACCCATGGTCCAGTATGGGAATGGTTTGATGAGATATTTACAGTAGCAGAACAAGGCAGACACATGTCAAGACCTTTGGTCCATCAGGCTCCAGACACAGTAAGGCTAGGAAAAGAAAACACTGCTTTCAGCACCAGCTGCTCTGGACAGCAGTCCTTGACCCTTTGGCTGGATGGAAACCAGGGGTCTATTTGTACATTTCAAGTGATTTACCTAATGGGCCAAAGCCACAGAGGAGGGCAGTACATGGTTATTAAGGGGGCCAAAGGTGTCCTAAGGTAACTTGGCTCTGAACTTACAGCATCCCAACCTCTCCACACCACAGTTGTCGATCAGCCTCCATAGCACACCCCACTTCCTAGTAGCCCAACTAACAGTGAAAACGGGGGTGGGGGTGGGGTGTGCCCATACACTAGGAGCAGAGGACCTGCTTAACAGGTACACGCATCTTGGGTTTTGAAGGGGTTAAACTCTCCCACTTTCACAACTGAACTCAGGTTCCAGTTCTCTGAGAAGGGCAAACAGGTAGGTGTCTTCTCCAACAAAGGACCATTTATCTACAAGACCCTTACATTCAGGGCTAAGGGAGAGAATGAACACAGAGGGTCTAAGTCAGCCTCACAGTGTCTCAAGGACAAACCCAGCAGCTCCCTTCTGAGTCACGACCAAGCTTGGGCAGATGTGTCCAAAAGTAATAAAACTAAACCTCAGCTAATTAAAAATATACTAATGTTAACTGCTGCTTGCTTACCCAATTATGTAGCTGACCCTGAAACTCCCCTTAGTTGTGCTTAAAAGGAGCCTACAAAAATAAGCCAGTTGTCAGTGTAGCAGGAATCTTAGAGAGTCTTATTAATAAAATCAAACCTGAGGCCAGTTACTGGGGTGAATGCTGGAAGATCAGAGAAGCAGAACAAACCACAGCTACCTCACCTTGCCAGTTCCTCAGCTGATCCTGTTTCCTCAGACTAGAAGCCTCTGAGTCCTTATCCAAATGGGTCTCAGCTGAACTGCTGCTCAGAAGCCTAAAAGCTTAACCAGCTAAAAGCTTCTAGTTCCTGGACTTCGCGCCTTATATACCTTTCTGCTTTCTGCCATCACTCCCTGGGATTAAAGGCTCACTTCTTGGGATTAAAGGCGAGAGTCACCATGCCTGGCTGTTTCCAATGTGGCCTTGAATTCACAGAGATCCAGAGGGATCTCTGCCTCTGGAATGCTATGTGAGTGCCACCATTTTCTAGCCTCTGTATCTAGTGGCTGTTCTGTTCTCTGACCCCAGATAAGTTTATTAGGGTGCACAATATTTTGGGGAACACAATACCACCACATGTCAGGACCAAAATAAAACCAGGGAAAGCCACATAGGGAGGGAATATCCATGAAAGTATCTGCCAGGTAACAGAAACCATCACAAAAGTCTGCTAAGACCACAGCCTTTATATAGATGAAAATAGTTGTGCGATGTTACCTGTCCAGAAACTTACTCATCAGCCTTGGGCTAACAGGATCCTTGGCTCCTGGTCCTTGCAGCCAAGGACAACTGTTCAAAACACAACCCTTTCCTGTTTCCTTTTAGCATGCTTGTCTTCCTTGGCCTCGCTACATCCATGATGGTTACTATATTCTGCCTGCAATTCCCTGCTAATGCAATCTGCTCTTCTGGAGAGCCATACTGTTATTTAGGCTGACACTTGGTGGGAATGTAAAATGTACAGCTGCTATGGAACACAGTATGATGGTTCCTCAAAAACTTAAAACACAATCCTGTTATGGGTAAAATAACCACACTCATCCTTCGGATTGGAATCTTGGGCACAAAGGAACTACACGTCCAATCATCTATGTCAGGAGTGAGGTCATGAGGGCAGGCCCAGCCTATGCTGTGAATCACTAAGCGAGGGCTTACTAAGGCAGTAAGTCTCAACAGTCCTGTGGAAAGGTTAAAGAAAGTCCCCAAGACAGGACTGTTCAGTCAAGGACTCCCCACTGATAAATGCTGGGTGAGTCTGAAAAGGGATGAACCCGGGGTCTCAACAACACCCTATTTGGCAACGCTGACAATTTTAAGGAATTTGGTTTGCTTGCTTCTTCCTTTCATTTAATCTTTACTTTTGAGACAGGGTTTTACAATGCTACTCTGACTGGCCTGGACTCATCTAAGTAGATGAAACTGAGAGTTCACAGAGCTTGCCTCTACCTCCTGAGTGCTGGATTACAGGCACAGGCCAAGCTTCCTTGTTTGTTTGTCTTTATGTATACTGGGGATGGGATCTAGAGTCTTGCTCTTGCCAGGCCAAGTGCTCTACCATTAGGCTATATCCCCAGTCCTCTTATATTTTGAGACAGGGTCTCATTAAGTTGTCCATCCAGGCTGGCCTTGAACGTGTGATTCTCCTGCCTCAGCCTCTTGAGTAACTAGAACTATAAAAACACACTACCAGTCCCAGTATCAATTCAATCTTTTTGTGTGTTGGGTGTGCATGTGTACATGAATGTGAAGGCCAGGGTTGACAATTATGCTCACCTTATTTTTGAGAGTCTTCCACTAACCTGGAGCTGACCAGTCTGTCTAGACTAACTGGAGAGCGAGCTCAAGATACCTCCCTGACATTATAGATAGATTATGGACACTTTATTGGGGACTGGGGATCTGATCTCGGGTCTTCATGCTTTTAGTGTACTTTACTAAACTCAGCCATTCCCCTAGCCCTTCACGCCCATTTTGAAGAGTCAGAGAATGTAGTATGTAAGGAGGTGGGAACTCGATCATGACTCTAGCTGGGAGTACTCTTCAGGCTGTGGCTTATCTTTCTTATTTAGGAAAAGGGCCAAGAAACATGGTCCAAGCTGGCCTGGAACTCTTGATCCTCCTGCTTCAGCCTTCTTAGTGTTGGGCTTATATGTAGTTGGAACTTTCTTTGGGCTACCAACCAGCTCCCAAAGAGACACAGAGACCTATTTGAATGCTCAGCCTTATTTTATGCTTGTTCCATTGCTTTTCTAACTTAACCTGTTTCTATTCATCTACATTTTGCCTCGGGGCTTTTTACCTTTCTTTCATTCTGTATGTCCTACTTTCCTGCTTCCTCCCTGTCTAGCTGACTGGCCCCTGGCATCTTGTCTCCTTTTCTTTCTTCCTCAAGTCTAAATTCCTCCTCCTCCTTACTCTCCCTGCCCAGGAGTTCTGCCTACACCTCCTCCCTCACTACTGGCCGTTCAGCTTCTTATTAGACCAATCAGGTGCTTTAGGCAAGGTAAAACAGCAACACGTCTTTACATATTTAAACAAATATTCCACAACAATTATATGTGTGTGCAACTACGCCTGGTCACTTGGATGTGGCTTTTAAAGGAAATAGCCCTTGTCTTTTTTTTCCGTACTGAGGTAGCACCAAGGGCCTAGCACGTGCTAAGTGTGTGTGTGTCATTACACTAGGCTATCTCCCTGACCCAGAATAGAGATTTCAAACTCTAAAGCAGAACTAATAATATCTGAGGCTAACTGGTGTGAATGGAAGCTCCCTGAAGCTTCATCTGCGTTCAAGAGCCTGTACGTGTCTGGCAGACTACAACACCATGATTGAGAAATGGAATGTTGTAAAGCAGCCAAAATTCCCTTGAACTATCTTTAGTGCCCGCCTCTCAAGTGCTGGGGACTGAACTTCGGCCTGACACATGGAAGGTAGATACTGTCCCACTGAAATACAGCCCGAGTCTGCTTTCCCTTCTATTTTGAGAAAGCTGTCCAGGCTGGCCTTGAACTCACTCTGTAGCCCAGGCAGGCCTAATTTATACTCCCCCTTCCTCAGCCTCCAGAGCAGATGAGATTCCAAGCTGTGCCACAAGGCCTGACTTAGAGCTCGTTACCATCAACCCCGTATCTGACCTAACATTCTCAGTAGGTAAAACTCTCAATGTAGTTAGGCATAGCAGAGATCTCCCTGCTCTGGACCTGACACTCTAGCCAATTATGTGGCAAATGACTTTATTTTGTTTTTAGAAGCTTCCATAAGACTGGGGCTACAGCAACAGAACACTTTCCTGGCAGACAGGACGAAGACCCTTGTTGGATAACCCCTAACACACACCACCACTACCACCTCATTACTCAAGGCAATCTATATCCCTGCTCCAGGACCTTGGTTACCCAGAACTGACACAGAATAATTTCTTTTCTTCCTTTTTTTAAAAAAGATTTATTTATTTTATGTATGAGTGCTCTATCTGCATGTACACCTTTATGCCAGAAGAGGGCATGAGATCTCATTATAGCCGGTTGTGAGCCACAGTGAGGTTGCTGGGACCTCTGGAAGAACAGCCAGTGCTCTTAACTGTTGAGCCACCTCTCCAGCCCCGACACAGAATAATTTCTATTATTTCCCTGGTAACAAGAACCCTTTTGGCTCTAGAGTGGTGAGTGTTATTACTCTGTCCAGAGTCACCCAGTTGGGGAGAAGAACTAAGAACTCGTAAAGAAAGGATAAAGTTACTCTTTTAACTACTAAACACCATTTCATTAAACAAACTATTTAACTAAAGGTCCTTGACCTGGAATATGTAAACAAGTCTCATAAACCAGTACGATTTCTCTCTCAAAAGAAAGGGGAATAAGAATGACAAACTAGGGCTCTCGAGAAATGGCTCCGTGGTAAGAGCACCTGCTGCCCTTACCGAGGATCAGGGTTCAGTTCCCAGCACCTCACAGGCAACTCACTCCCTCAGTGAAGGGACCTGAATCCCTCTTCTCATCTCCAGGCACACGGGAGGTAACATACATGCACACATGCAGGCAAACCACTCACGCACATAAAATAAATAAATGTGAAAAAATTTGGGCAAACTGTATGCACAGGCAATTTAAGACAAAAACATAACAAAAAAAAAAAGTGAAGAATGCTCAACCTCACAAAGAGGCAGAGGCAATAAAAACCAGGCAACATTTCCTGCACACTCGGACTATCACACCCCGCGTGAAGGACACCGCCAAATGAATGAATGAACGTGGAGCAGACGCATTCTTCCAGGGCCAGCGAGAAACCGCGGAAGGTGCTCCCG